CGAGTGTTGCCAATTGAAAGGTATTATATAATGACATAATATTGTATAATTGCATGAATTGAATGCAAACCAAATTGAATTAGAAATGACTGAATGGTTAGTTAGGGAGCAATGCATACATAGACTGGCATTGAGTTAAACGCTTGAAAAATGTGTCATTCAGTGAAACACTACTGCAATGAGTGTTCAGTTTGTTGTTCACAACACAACACTATAATAGTGTTGTGTTTGCAGTGATTACACACTATTTAGAGACCATTTTGGGTGCACTCATGAACCGCTCAATCGTACCATTCATTCACCATTTAGTCCGAAAGTGTTTGCATTCAAGTCCCACATATGTCTTAAGACTGCAATGAGTGTCCATTCAATGCATATGACTGTTGGCGTCAATACAGGTGACGATCACATGAAGGCCAGTGGTGTCCACGAGGAGGACACAGACTGTCAATGGAGTGACCGATTGGACGACAATAAAGCGCTGCAAATGTTGGACCAATTGGACGATAATATATGTATGAAGAATCACTCGAAGACAATGTCCATGTCGTCGAAGACCAGCATTAAGTCGAATGGCAGTGAAGAGAGGTATTCGACGAAGAGTTTGAAGAGTGGCAACAATTGGGATCAGACGCAGACCCGGCTGTTGCCCATCAAAGACACGTATTGCTGGGATTGCCATAAGAATGGCGTCGACTTCTCGTGTAAGGCATGTCTTCGTAGTTATCATCAAAAGTGTTCGTCGCTGAAGAGGCTGTTGAGTCAGTCGGTGGTCGACTCGAAGCTGTGTCCGGAGTGTACGGACATAATGGGCGCCGAAGAGGGCACCAATCCGTCCGGTTGTATGCAATGGTTGAACGGGAATGTGGAGGAGTTGTCTGAACTGCTGAGGTATACCATCGAAACGGTGAGGGCGGCCGACAAGAAGAACTCGTTCTACGATCCCGTGTCGGCCACTCTTTACCCCGAATACCGTAATCTAATCGTTAATCCAATGGATTTGAGTCTAATTGAGACCAATATCCACAACAAGTTGTACGCATCGACTAACAGCTTCTTAGCGGACATTAAATGGGTATTTGAATGCATTCAATGAATGCAACCAATGGTTGACTATAAGTATGTCTATATGTCTCCAGGTTTACCACAATTGCATTGTTTTCAACTCCGGAGTCAATCAGCCGTTGATCAGTGAAGTGAAGAACATCTTACGAGTGGCCAAACAGGAGTGCGAAGAGATCGAGATCTGTCCGGACTGTTACCGCAACTACTATACCATGGAAGAGGACAACTACTTCGCTGCCGTGTGTCGGCGCCCGCACGCCATCGTATGGGCCAAACTGAAGGGCCATCCGTATTGGCCCGCGAAAGTGGTTCGTTATAACGAGTTGAGGCATGAGGTGGACGTCCGCTTCTTCGGCACTCACGACAAGTAAGTGTTGACCGCTTTCGAGGCGTTTATAGTGTTTATTGTGTTCATTGAATGCATTTGTGAGCCGTTTCTCTGATTGAAAACCATTGGTTTCGATCGATTGAATGGTTTCGAAATGGAAAGCCATTGGGAATCGATCACCGAATCTCTTGTGGTTCATGCAATCGATTCGAGAAATGGCTGCAAATGTGTTGAATGTGTTTCGATTTGAATGTGAGGCTAACCACCAGTTTGTATGCCTGACCACCAGGTGTTGG